GGGGGGGGGGGGGGGGTACTCATATGTAGTCGTGCCATGCCAAAGTCGTTAGACCATTGACCTCGCATTCCTACAAAGCCGGGACGGAGCACGCCAGGGTCTCACCGCACCAGGCCCTCACATCACCAAGCGCGAAGCACCGTGAGGTATTCGGTTCTGTGAGTAGCTTGGAGGGTGCGCTGCATCTTGCTACGGGTATTGGGCATCGTGTGCTTACTTCCTTGCATACGGAAAAAACAGCTACGAATGACTATTTATTTTCTGGTGCTTTCGCGGTTGATGGGAGGGGTGGGAATATATTTCAAAGCCGCCCTCTCGGACAGTTTTTGCTCGTGCGGTTTTGGGTAAATCTGTAGAGAAGGAGGTAAAGGTTTGGATCCGCACCACGGGAGACTGCTAGCAGGGATTACAACCAAACGAAAATGAAGGTACGTAGGGAAGTGTAGGATGAAGAACTTGGAGGTTTTACCAGCGAGGGGTGAGAATCAAGCAGTCTCGGAACAAGTGTGAACAGACCGAAAGCTAGCACTGTTTACGAACATGTAAAGATCAATAATTGTGTTTTTCCAGCTCCAGGCAGGGTGGATGGTACATTCTTTTTCTACGGGTCAGAAATGCGACTCAAACCGTCTAAGTCAAACCTGACACGACGGAGGGCAAGAAGCTGCTCCATAGAGCAGTCGAAGCCGACAGAACCACTTCAGAATTACCTATTTCGACCAAACGTAAAGGAAGGCTGAATGACCCTCCCCGGTCTTGGTATAATCCAAAGCACTCTAGCGAGACACGTAGGATGGAAGCTGAGTACTGCCTACCGGCCGAGAGCGATGCGATGGATACACAACAATGACGTTATTACTGCACCGGCATGGAGTTCTTACCGTCAAGGGCGTCCGTAAACGAGTCCAGAATGCGTCCGCGCATAGCCTTCGTCGCCTCCGGGATCTCCTTCTGCCCTCGAATAACGCACCAGCTCGGGTAGGTCAACACCTTAAAATAGTCGGCAACCAGGAAGGCGGGGGCATGGCGGCGAGAGGAAAAATGAAGGAGATCACGCGTGCACACAAGCCGAACAAGACGCGACAGGCGAGGGACGAGACAGGGGGGGGGGGGGGATGGGGAAGNGGGGGGGGGGGGTGGATGGGGAAGGGTCAGTATGAAAACGGTTTTTGTTTTCTCGCCTGGTTGTCGAAGAGACCCATTTCTTTTTTGCAACGTCGCAGAAATAATGCAGTTATCACCATCAACGCAGCAAGCGAAATGCCGACCCAGCACGGAGCTCCCTTGAGGGTCCAGCAGACAAATTCAAGCAACCCACAAGCGGCGGTTACCAGACGGCCACGCTACCAATAACCCGAATAACGTTCGGCTCCGCCGGCTCTCACCATTCCCCCGATCCGGACCTTGACGAACGCGAAGCTCGAGGACGGGAGAGCGAGATGGTGGACCTGACGCCAGTACTCCACCTTCGCCCGTCAACCCAATATACCAGGAAACATCGGAATGGGTATTGGGTCAGCGGGGAGGGCGTGGGGGCAACAGCGCCGCGCGATGGTCGGGCAGAGAAGCGGCGATGACGGTCGGCGGGGGAGTGGTAGGCTCAGCAAGCAAGCAGGCTCAAACCCTCCAAGTGACACTGATTGGCAGACCAGGCTCTTTGCAGCAAGTTGACGTCCCCTTTTCTTCCTTCAGCGTTCAGACGTCTACTCCTAACGTGTTACTCTTGTCGGGAGGCTTGATGTGGAACATACCGGAAAAAGGAATGCGTCAGGGGCCACGAGAACGTCCCGAGAATCGAATTCCTACATGGAGACCACCAACGTCGTCGAAGTTGTCAAGCAACCACTCCTCTCCGTCTCTGTCTCCCACCCCCCCCTTTCTCCTACCTCTCCATCACTTCCCCCTCACAAAAACGTCGCACTACTGTACGTGCGTTCTCACCATTTCGTCCTCCGAGCGAGGGCCGACGTAGTAGCCCCTCTTGAGGTTGGCCTCCTGTAGAAGGTCCATCTCGAACGCGTCCTGTTGCCCCCCCACACACATGGCACAAATTATACAAAATAAACTTGCATATATTTAGGGTACCCTGCTTGTCGCATCCCTCCTCCGGTGTTTGCCATCGGGGATGGGTTTTTGTCGCTTGGCAACGACGTTGTAAAACAAGCCGAAAGGAGTTCACTGAGGACGAGGTTGAGGCGTGTGTGAACAAGCTGAAGTGCCACAAAGCAGCAGGAGCGGATGGGATAGTCAACGAGTTCATGAAGTTTGGGGGGAAGGGGATGATCCAGCTGATGGTACTGCTAT